GCTGGTGATAGTGATGACGGGAATCTTAGATTTCTGAATGCTGTTTCTTGTAATATAACATATTTATGAACAGAGGGATGACCTTCTTAGAAGAAGTGTGGAAATTACATTTACCTTGATATTTGGCAAAAGGCCATTTAGATAGGTTCACCTTGTAACAATAATAGGGAATGAAAATCATACATTTTTAGAGAGTGGGGGATGTTTCCTTCTCTTCATTGTTGTACACCCAAGATGTAAGGATGTCTCATGCCAGGCTCATTGTTTGCATTGGGCACTTCGATAAAGCAAATTAGATCCTGTTTTCTCTGAATATCTAAATTTATTTTTGAAGAAGAATCCACACAATAGAAGTCTTTCAGTCCTATCTTTTTGTATGTGCATTGTCTGCAGTGTTGAATTCTTTCCGGAGTTACAGTTACTGATATCATGGCCCTTCCTTGTAGAAAACTCTTACTTTAGGGACAGATGGGTACGTATGGGATTCAAGAATACAAATCAGCAAGATTTCCCCCCTCCATACAGATCAACAAGATTATATCTTCATCTTCATCAGGTGCTTATTCCATGTGAATCCACTTTGGTATCTTATCAGAGTTAATATGTCCCTTTCAAAGGCCTGACTGCTTTTTTCTCTGGCAAGGCAACTCCTCCATTGCATGTTAATTGCTCTTGAAGATGGTAATCTAATTTAACAGTTTCAAAAACAAGCACAACTACTACCATCTGTGTGTTTTACAATAGTACCTACGAGTCCTGGTTACGGGAAAAGGCATAAGCTTGGCACACACATTAACCTCATTTCTTTACTATGTCAAATATAATTCATGTGACAGTTTAGTTTTAACTTAACTAAATGCATAGAAAATGGTATACAGGAAACAAGTACTGAAATGCAAGCAAATACCCACTAAAATTCTAAATGTTGCTTAATTACAAAGGGGCATGTAGGGCATCCACTCTGATTATTAGATAACAGGGATGTGTTCCTTGTTCTCACAGACTTAAGGGAAGTGACTTGGTTAACAAGAGCTTTAGTTTACTATATGTAAATGAGTCA